CACAATACTAACACACCTATAACTCACTGCTAACTCAATATTAACTCACCTCTAACCCACTGCTAACTCAATGTTAACTCAATGCTATCTCAAGCTACCCCACTGCTAACTTAGCGCTAACTCAATGCTAGCCCATGCTACCTCACTGCTAACACAATACTAACACACCTATAACTCACTGCTAACTCAATATTAACTCACCTCTAACCCACTGCTAACTCAATGTTAACTCAATGCTATCTCAAGCTACCCCACTGCTAACTTAGCGCTAACTCAATGCTAGCCCATGCTACCTCACTGCTAACACAATACTAACTCACCACTAACTCACAGCTAACTCAGTGTTAACTACCTGCTGACTCACCAGTAATGCAATACTAGCTCACTGCTAACATATTACTAACTCACTGCTCAGTGTTTACTCACTGCTAACCTATAGCTAACTCGCTACTTATTACCTGCTAACTCATTGCTAACTAACCACTAACTCCCTGCTAACTCACTGTTAACACACTGCCAACTCAATGCTGACTCACTGCTAACTCACTACTAACTTTGTGCTAACTCACTGCTGACTAAATGATAACCCAATGCTAACATAGTGCTAACTCCCTCCTAACTCACACCTAAATCAATGCTAACTCACCACAACGTAATTGCTAACTCAGGGTTAAGTCACTGCTAAGTAAAGGATAACTCCCTGCTAACTCACCGCTAAGTCCCTACTAACTCTTGGCTAACTGGCTGTTTACTTACTGATAACTTGCTAACTTGGTGCAAACTCACTGCTAACTCATTGCTAACGAGGTTGTAGCTGCAGATCATTTCTTGCTCCTCATCAGATGCTGAAGCTGCCCCCGCAGCCAGCGGACTATAAATAGCCCCTCTGTTAGCAGTTAGCAGAGAAAGTTGCTTCTTGATGAGAACAACAGATGGCAGGAAGAGACACTTTTAAAGCTCGTTAGCAACTTCAAAGACTGTCGTCTTCAGCTGACTCCTTTGACTGATTAGTTCAGTTGTGAAACTTCTGAGTCTATATTTAATCACAGGCTGAGATGTTTTTAATCACTGGATAATAGCATTAATATTTATCAGAGAGTTGCTCTCAGCCAATCAGCTCCGCTCTGATTGTCTCTCTGAGCTTTCTAAGTTTAGCCAGCAGGGAAGCAGATTGCCGTCAGCAGCCGTTTCGCACGCTGGAAGCTACATCTTCATGGAGGAGCCTGCAGATGGACGTGCAGAGCTTCCTGAATGCTCGTTCCCACAGGTTGTTTGTTGAGTTGCCGGCTGCATGCTGAGGAGCAGCTCGTTAGTTTTCTGCTGTCTCTGATGAGCTCTACTTCATAGCCCGCTCAAATTACCTTCAAATTATTTAATCAATCCATCATCGCAGGTTTTAATAGCAGCTTGTTTTAATCAGCATCCAAATGACTCGCTGATTATAACGTGTAGAAATGCGAATTTAATCAAGAAGTGCAGCTTCTGGTCCTGTAGAGGTTATTAAAACATCCAAACCAAGACAAACAGCCATTAGCCCTCCGCATGTTTAGTCAAGACAATTTCCCAGCCTAAAAAACACATTAGCTGCTGACTGTTTACATGAAGCCGGATCCCGCGCTCGGCTGCAGAGCTCCAATTTCAAAACAGGTCATTACAGCTGAATGTTTGCAGGGAAAACATAATGAGTCACATTCGTCAGAAGAAGCTTTTTCCAGGGTTTACCACCCGGTAAGCAGAGCGTCGATTCCTCCTTAAGAGGCTTTTAAACGCCTCAGTCATCAGGCTGAAATAAACGGCCTTTAAAGACCTTCAGTTAAATAAAAACACTAGAAAACAGAATCACCCCCCTCCCCCACATGCTGCTGAACTGACAGGCACCTCCAGCCACTCAGCTGCTGGTTCTGAGCCCCTAAACGGGCCAGATGGTCCCTTCTGTGAAGACCAGAACCGCTCAGCCAGACCAGGACCAGAAAGACCAGAACCGCTCAGCCAGACCAGGACCAGAAAGACCAGAACCACACGGACAGACCAGGTCCAGAAGTACCAGAGCCATTCAGACAGACCAGGACCAGAAAGACCAGAACCGCTCAGACAGTCCAGGACCAGAAAGACCACCAGAAAGACCAGAACCACACGGACAGACCAGGTCCAGAAGGTGCAGAACCGCTCGGACAGTCCAGGACCAGAAAGACCAGAACCGCACAGACAGTCCAGGACCAGAAGGACCAGAACCACTCAGACAGACCAGGACCAGAAAGACCAGAACCACTCAAACAGTCCAGGACCAGAAAGACCAGAACCACACGGACAGACCAGGTCCAGAAGGACCAGAGCCATTCAGACAGACCAGGACCAGAAAGACCAGAACCACTCAAACAGTCCAGGACCAGAAAGACCAGAACCACACGGACAGACCAGGTCCAGAAGGTGCAGAACATCTCAGACAGACCAGGACCAGAAAGACCAGAACCA